AGATGGCGAAGGAGTCAGTTCTCTGCCTATGACCTCCATCATTACCTCCTGTGACTGAGCACATCGAATGGCGCAGCATTCGGTACGAGTCTGATGAGTTCGTGGTATGCGCATGCTCACGAGCCTGCAAAACATCGACTAGTTATCGACAGCTCTCCGGCAACGAAGAATGTACATCGCAGGTTTTATTCAGGCGTCTGATCCGTTAATCGTCAGTGATTGGTCGGCCGGTAATTCCAGCTTTTAGATTATTTTTCATCCTTGGATGGTTTCAGGTTAGAGATACAACCATGCGATACTGACCTAGGTCAGATACGGGATCACGTGAGTCGCAGGGCGATGGCTTCAGAGACCCGATGTACAACGGAGTACTTGAGATCTGTAAGAGCAGGAAAATGGCCTATACGCTCCCGGAAACTCGGTGAATAGTCGAACAATGAGCTGCTCAGCGTAACTATGACAAAGTGGCATCTTTGTGCTGTCGACAATTCACAAAAACTGTGAATCAAACGACATCAGACATGTCTGATTTCATCACGGATTCAATTCGTATTCCACCGGAAATCAACTGACCATCCAAGTCTGAGCCCAGATTACGACCGATGTCGCCGAGAGGTCCCCGAAGCGTCTGCCCGCAACTTCATGGGGATTGCCGAAGTCTGTGGAAGGAGAAAATCAAGCACATAAGTCCTGGCAGAGTTCGACTTGAACCGTCTCGATGCTCGACAAGACGGATCAGACTGAAGTTATTCGAGTTATGCACCCACAATCATTTTGTCGCGCAAGAAATCTGTCATCACTAATAGCGTCGGTTCTGCTAAAAAACGTCAGCGATGATGATGATTTTTGGGCCAAGCTATGCTTCGAGCACTCACCGCAATCGTCGCTAGTATCCGAATCGATCCGTCTCCAGAATAGAAACTCGTAACTATCATCTGATAGTCGGCTTCTGCGGGAGAATATGTGTCTTAAGAGGCAGTCTTAATTCTCTTCGCACGCGGTAGATTGGAATCGATGTCAGGCTCATTAAATCAGTAACTCTCACGGAGGTTCAAGATAAGATGTTCATCACGAGACAAGAGAATCATTATCGCAGAGTGGAGAAACGCCCGAACCTGTGTCAATGCCGAAGCAGAATTCGATCGCTTTCACGTGGAGGTACCGGGACCTGGAGAAATAGTCGAAGGGATGAGTTCGAGGCGTCTTTGCCAGTTGATAGGCTCACGGAGACGAGGCTCTCAGACAGCCAAGTTTGAAATCACAGTCATTCATCCGAATATTTTGCGAAACCATTATGGAAATCATCCTAGATGAAGAGAAAGATGGCATCTCGGGAGGAGCAGCATCTTTTCCGAATTTCCCGCGGAAGACTCACCGCAGTCACTCGTCGGGAGCGTGCCTCGAGGGAGCAGAGATCGGGAAGACGCCATAGCTCTGGCTTCGTCCGATCGTGAACGGACCGCGTGGTCGACTGTTCCTCCGCTATCCTAGGAAATGAAGCCAATTTGATGTTACAGCCCTCGTCTCTCGAAGCGACGCTCTCTCCAAAACTAATTCAATGATGGGCGCGCCACGCGGGAGCAGCAATCGAAAAAAACCCGCTTCGGGTGCGGCGTTTTCTGGGCATGAGCTTCCGCCACTTGTTGAATTAGGGGCCCGGAAACGGGTATTCTACTCTTGCCTGAGCTCTGTTTCAACTCTAAATCGCTGCTCACGAGAGGTGATTTTCGGAGCTCGATAGATGCACGAGTTAAGGGAAATCCACGAGTCGGCTGCCCGACAAAGCGTGGTTTCTCGCCAGTTTCCCAGCGCAGTCCACGGCAGCAAAGTTGCCACAAACAGAAGCGGAGAGCCACGATGAGAACCCGCCGGATGAGAGCTGCCTAATCATATTCAAGGGCGAAGGCAAATCATATCCCGACGCAATATCCTATCCTGCAGTATACGATCGGCATCAACTTACCATGACGAGACTCGACGCTGGAAAGACACGTGCAGGGAGGATGTTTATAGTTATACATATCAGCGCGAAGCAAGCGCCTCCTGGCGGAGATTTTCGAGCCCGCCGCTGATGCAGGGCGGCCTTCAAGCGCTGTAGGACGAAGACTCCGTCGGCACCGAACTATTCCGGTATAGGAAGAGGAGACCTCGAAGATTCCGGAATCGGTGACGCGAGTATGGCATTCGTTCTCAAAACTTTGAGTTCCTCCGCTCCGAGCTCCGGTTCCTGCCGATATCGTCGACTGGCGGGCATTTCAAAAATCTTGACCTCGATCCGGAATCGGGACTCAAACCAGGGGAGGCTTCCCGGTGCAATCAATCTTCAAGAATGCTCATTCAAAGAGTCCATCCGGGAGCAGGGAAGAACTCGCAACGTCATCTTCCCTCGGAGTCCTTATCGGGAAATTGTCGTTCCGTGGCGAGTCGCATCGATTCCGAAACCACTGTGGCATCGGCAGCCGTTTCCTTTCTCTTTTCCTGTTTGACCACGACTTGGTATGCTTCATCGACTATTTTTCGTGATAATTACGTGAATTTGTGGCTTTATCATTCATGAATGTAATATTCAGAGCTCACGGTAACACTCGTGCACGCTCTGGTGCCGTTTGCGGGTCGCGTATCGTATGCGGATTCTGAGTTATCGAAGTACTACACCGGCCCGCAAACCACGTTGTTCTTTGGGAGGCTTTATCGGACGCGGATAATAGCGAGTTACCGTATGTCACCGTCTCAGTGCCGTCCGGGTCTTCGAATAAGCTCTGGATCGCTAAAAGTAGTGCCGTCTTCACTCCAGGGTCATAACAAAGTCTAATCATGGTAAACACAAAGGGTTACCGCCGCGGTACGCGGTACATGTTCGCTCGGGACTTCAGGAAACGCGGAGTCGAGCACCTGTCCACCTACCTTCGTGTCTACAAACGAGGAGACTACGTTGACATCAAGGTATGATGTCCTTCCGGAATGAATCGGCTGTGCCTGACGGAGTCTTCCGTGACCCAGGTTTCAGGTGCCTTAAGAATCATGTTCCATCCGTAGGGAAACGGTGCCTTCCAAACTGGCCTGCCACACAAGTCCTACCACGGACGCACCGGTCGTGTTTTCAATGTGTCGCATCGTGCGCTAGGTGTGATCGTTAACAAACGAGTCAGGGCCAGGATCATCCCCAAGAGGATATACATCCGCGTCGAGCACGTCAAGCCCTCCCAGTGCCGTGAGTTCCGATCCCAACGTAGAGAGAACGACGCTGCTCGCACCCTTCGTGCAAGACATCTCCAATGAGCTCGGATCTCACACTCTCAAATTGAACCCAGTGTTTGAAGTAGTTATCACTCGATTGCAGGCAAGGACTTCTTGGAGCGTATCAATAAGAACGATCCCCTCCGGGCTGAGTTGAAGAAGCAGGGCAACAAAAACAAGATCACCATCAAGCGTGAGGTTGGCCAACCCCGCAAGCAGCACGTTGTCCGTGCCAAGCACGAGATCCAGCTGGTCAGGCCCATCCCGTACGAGTTCATGGCTTGAATAAAACCTTGAAACTGTCTGAGCGATGTTCTTCCATCCTTATGCTCCTCGTCCGGCGGGGCGGAAGTCCATGCTGGAATCCATAACATTCATAGATAGATAGATACGGGCAAAAGCTCCGCTCCTCCGCCGCATATCATCTCGTAATCGTTCTCGAGAAGTCCTTCCAGCACCATCCTCCCTTCGCTGTAGAGAAGCGCTGATCGGATACGGTACGATCCTGGGTGAACTCGGGCTGTCCGGCCATATTCCGCATCTATGTGGGGAGGCGGATATCTTGAGAGTGGAAACACCGGTGCAGTGTTTCCTTCGATGGGTACCATGGCTGTCTCGGGGTCCCGGGATACCCGATTCTCAGGGGTCTCGAGCTTTCGTAAAATACGGGGACTGAGGATGCAGAAATAACTTCGACTGTACCTATCGCTTCGGGGAGTGCGCCGAATTAATTTCCCACGGATATGGCACGGCTTCGCTGCTCTCTCTCTCGAAGTAGAACTTAAAATGAGCTTGTGGCAGCTGCAAGGGATCTGTTTCGTTTCGCAAGAATGCTGCAAGCGCGAGTGACGATACTTCTTCTTCCCTCTTTCTCTCGGTACCGAGGCCCGAGAAATATTGGGAATACTTATCTAGCGGAGACGAGTCGAATGTTTTCGTGACTCGCGAGCACGGATTGAGTGAGCAACGTGCTCGAAAGCTCGAATATTCAAGATTACTCGACATTCACTTTCAATTCGAAGACACAGTCCGGGAATTCCTATGTTCTCTTGTTCGTTTTCTTGTCGCAGGTTTCGTGTTATTATGTGAAATACAGACGCTCTGTTCGGGAATGCAATTGTGGGCAGGGGACGAGGGGACGCACTTTTGGCACAATCCCGTCGAATTCTGATCAACGACCCCCTCCCTCCCTAGAACTGAAATATATATCGGTGAGAGGCCTCAGAAGGAACTCCGTGGGAGGAATCAGCCCAAGAATGAAGAACCTTGGGATTCTTCCGGTATGAGGCTCATAACTAGAGCTAGGCGTTCCAGGCAAAATGCCTAAAATGCCTGGAAATGCCTTTTCTTCCCGATAATCCTTAAAAATGCCTATAATCAATTTCCGATAGGCATTTTGCCTATGTTGCCTCTTTCTCGTCTTATGGCCGTCCCTTCGATGGCTTCTGGGTGCATGGTCCCACTTGGTGTGCGAAAGGTACACGACGTGTGCATCACTTCCCTCGCTTTCCGCGCGCGACGGAGAACGGAGATAAACATTGTCTTGGTGGATCCTCTGAGCCGATGATGTACTGTCGTCCATATCCCAGAATATAAGTTAAAAGAACGCGCGAGCTGGACATCCGTCGTCCCCTTATGAGCTCTGAGATGACCCCAGGCCGGTGTCTGTCGAACAGACCTCTGAGCTCACTTGTGTTCTGGCTAGATGTTTGCGCGGGTGATACCGCTTATCGACGAAAATTCGAGACCGAATAGCTGGGAGCTCGCCTACTTCCCATAAGTGCACGACAAGAGAAGATGCCCAGGCAACGAAAAACCGGGAAAGCCAGGATGGAGCTCTTTGTGAAAGAACTCGGTACCGATTGTCTCACGACGGACGGCTACGCACTCACCTGTAAGTTGTGTGCGAAGCTCGTCAATTCAGATAAGAAGTACTACGTCGAGCAGCATTTGAATGGTGCGTTTCACCAGGAGCGCGCCCAGAGAGCGAAGCCAGAAGATCGGAGTCTATGTCTCCTGAAGAACTACGTAGAGCTTTCGAGCAGAGGGCGTATTTTCAGCATGGACTTATGCCAGATGATGATCGAGTGCAACATCCCACTCTACAAAGTCCAGAATGCGTCATTCCAGAGATTCTTCGAGAAATGGAGCAGGGAAAAAATACCTGACCAGAGGTCACTCCGAAGAAATTATCTACAGAAGCTATACGACGCAACTGTCACCAAGATCAGAGAAACCGTCGGCGAGCATCCAATCTGGGTCTCGGTGGACGAGACCACAGATTCGAGAGGCTTATACGTTGTCAACACTGTAATCGGTCGTCTTCGCTCGGACGAGGCTTCTAATATCCCCATGCTGCTGGATTGTGAAATAGTCGAACGCACAAATCACGCGACAATTGCTCAAGCATTCATGAATGCTTTCAGCCTTCTCTGGCCGACAGGCGTCAAACATGACCGAGCTCTTCTATCCCTTAGTGACGCGGCACCATATATGAAAAAAGCAGAAGACGCCTTGAAAGTAATCTGTCCGAGAGTGATACATGTAACCTGTTTAGCACATGCCGCACACCGAGTCTGTGAAGAGATCCGGGTCTCGTTTCCAGAGGTCGACTCTTTGACTTCCAGCGTGAAAAAAGTTTTCTTGAAAGCTCCATCTCGAGTTAAAATCTTTCGAGAAACAGCTCCAACTTCAGCTCTTCGCCCTGCGCCTGTAATTACCCATTGGGGCACATGGCTGAGTGCAGCCATGCAGCTGCGATTCGGAAGGCAAAAGAAATCTTCGCCGACCCCAATGTCAAGTCTAGCCTCGCGTTCATTGCCTAAAACTTTAGTCAGCTCCCGGAGAGCATTACAAAACTAGAATGCACCACTCAGCGTCTTTCATCTACTCTCGACATCGTTGAAGATATCAGGCTGACTCTTGCATCGAGCGTCGGCCAGAAGGCTGAGCTCATACGGTCCAAATTCGAGAGAGTTTTGGAAAAAAATACCGGACTGAGAACGATCGGTATGGTGAGACGAGCTATCGTCGGCGAAGGAGTCTGCGATGAAATTTCCGATTTCTCGGAACTCGCCGCGCTTTCGTATGCTCCCCTCGTCAGCGTCGATGTCGAGAGGTTGTTCTCTCCTTATAAAATCTTGTAAGCGATCGACGATACTCTTTGACTCCGGAAAGTGTAAAGCATCATATAGTAGGTTTGTGTAACGCTTCCGTTGTCGAATAAAACATGACACCAGAGACTTGCTTTGTGATGAACACATCTGTTCCATCACTGTTTGGTATTCGATGGTCGACGAGATGGAGCAGTCCCATCCGCTCATGCATTCCGGACTCAGCACGGCGCTTTACCTAATTTTTCGCCTCCGTCGATGTTGCCTATTTGACCGATTTTTAGTGCCTAAGTCGCGAGTTTTCAGTGCTAATTTGCCTCCCTATTATGCGATTTTTTAGTGCCTGAAACGCCTAGCTCCAGTGATTATCATTGTTATCATACTTGGCAGGAATTTGATCGCAGCTCTCCCTCACTGTTCAAGGTACAAATGCCAGCGATTGGAATGCTCTCGAGGCAGATTCAAGGTCATCTCACTTCTCCCGTGGCGCGCGCGTCCGGACGACTCAGCCCTCCGCATTCCGCCATCAGTCGCTCACTTAACGTCCAGAGGTGGTGCGAACGAGAATCATGTTCTTGACGGCGATTCTTCTCGTTTCGGTGACACTGCTGGTCCTGAAATTGTTTAGGCTGGCGACTCACTGGAACGACAAGGGTATCCCTCATGAATCGTTCCTGGAGGCCCTGCATCGGAATCTCTGGAAAAATTCTGTCCGCAACCCGTTCGACAACTATGACGACGCTGTTCGTAAGCACGGCAGAATTTTCGGATCCTACCGAGGTCTGAGTGCAGTGCTCGTGGTGTCCGAGTTGAACGCT